TCGCTGAGTTTTGAAGAGATTTATTGGCTGGCTCTTGCTAAGCCACGCTTGAGTAATCCGAGCTGCTGCGCGCCGTGGTGAAGCCCGGAGGGGGGGGAACGTCACTCCCTCTGGCAGCGGAGCAACATTAGTCTTCCAGCCCTCTAACCATCACTACAGAGTCGGAAACTGCCGGGTCACAGCCATTTGCTTTGGAAAACTGGCGATGTTTGGTGCTAGAGATCGATTACCCTTGTAATCTTCTTCCCCCCCACGTCCTCCTGCTTACCCCACCCCTACCCGCCCCAGACAATAGCGTCCGAGCTCCTCCAGGAAAAAAATAGAAAAGAAAGCAAGGAAAGAAAGAAAAAGAAAGAAAGAAACTGGGGGATGGATCTGACTCCAATAGGAAAAGCGTGTATCTAGAAGTGGTGCTAATGGGAAGAGATTTCCGAGCTCCAGAGGACGATGATTTGTCACAAAGGGTAGCTGGCTCGGTGCTTTGGGCTGGAGCCGTGTAGGAGATCCTTGGAGAAGTCATTGTGCACAGAAAACCGAAGACCTGTACAAACATGCCTGTTCGCAGAGGTCATGTGGCACCACAAAATACATTTTTGGGTACAATCATACGAAAATTTGAAGGGCAAAGTAAGTTCTCTCTTTCTATCTATTTTGCTACAGTAGTTTGATTCTGCTTGCGACTAAATGGACAGCAGCTCCAGACTATTTTAAGTTTGTAGCTTGGAAAGAAAATCCCAGAGGTAAGGAGGGGATCCCTGGCAGGAGTAACATTGTTTTTGATCTGGAATACAGATTACCGACTTGAATTATTGGGCTTTTTTTTTCCACATTTCAAGGAATAGTTTTTATCTTTGACTGTATCCATATTGCATAGGCATAGAAGTTATATCTCTTACCTTCTGAACTGGTGAGATGGCTCTAAAAGCAGAGTCTACAATCTTGCTGCCTGTGCAATGTCTAAAAAAATCAGCTAGATTTATTATTATTGTTGTTGTTATTATTAATTATCATTGTCTTTTCAAAATAGAACAGTCGGACTTTGATTTAGAGGAAACAGATAATATGTAGAAGAGTTATTAAAGAGAAAATACTCTCTTACCTTGTTGTCATGACTGCACTTTAATATAGCTGTCGAATATTTCTGCTTTGTTTATGCAAGCCTAAAATATCTATCAAACCAGTGCAAATGCATCCTCAGGGAGAGTCTGTGAGATCTTTTCCAATGCAGCAGTTTACTACCTGTCAAGGAGGCTGAAGCTGGAGTGTTTTTCCTGGCCGGAACTCTGGTTTACTGTTAACAGTAAGAAGGAACACTTGATGCTTAAAATGAATTTAATTTAGAAACAGTAGTTTTTATATATGTACATTTATTTAAATATTTAGCATATTTTTAGTATCAGTCTGGTGCAAACCCTTACAGCTAACTCCCAGTTTATACACTTCATTATACTTAAACCCACGTTACCAATTTACTATTTATATTATTTGAGAAAAAAAAAAGAAGACGGTGTTTGTAGTCCTAATTTATCTAAATGCTAAGTCAGTGTTGCTACTTGAGTAAAGTTTTTATGCAGTAAAGTGTATATATTTTGAAGAGAATAAAGCACTACATACTAACTAGGCAAGCAAGAGTGAAAATTCAGGATGAATGAAAGACAGTAGAAAAAGCAAGAATGACATCTGTATTTTTTTCTCTCCAAATATTTCACTGTATTCAAAGACAGAATATCTTTAAAATTTTCAAGACTTGCACTGCTAACTTGGTGCCACATAAAAAGTCTTTTATAAAGCAAGGGACCTACTAGTGTGATTAAGTAAGCAGAAATTCATGTTATTGACAGTAAATGTATCAAAGCTGCACATTTATCATTATAACGGGAACAGCGTTATAGTGGTAAACAGAAACAAATGAAAAAACAGTTGAAAACTTTTGAACCTCTCTGTCAGGTGAGTGTTTGGGAAAGGATGATGGACCAGGGCACAGAACTTCAGCAGACCGTGCAAAATGTTTCCAACATCACAATCTTTGGTTTTCAAGTACCTTCATGCTTCTTTATTTTATTTTTTATTAAGGAATATTTTCTTTTATAAATTTCTAAAACAATCACAGAGGAAAAAAAATTATCATGTTCTTGTCTAGATAGTTAAAATACTGACTATAAACTTGCTGTCATTCACCTCAATGAAAATCCCTACAGAGTAGGCTGAGCTGGTAGGACCTTATCCCAGGAAGCCCTTGACTTCAGTAGAGCCCCATTCCAAGGCCCCACTTCCCTCCCCCAGAAAAGCTACTAACTTTTCAAGGACTTTCCTGGAGTTATGGCTGACAGGATCGCGCTCATCACCTGGGTTTCAATGAAGCTAAAAACCACAAAATTTTGAAAATAAAAGGAGTCATAATCAGGTTTTATTTCCTTAAAAGACAACTATCTTCATCTTTAATGTATTCTAAATTTATTGAAGTTTCTTTAAAAGCTATGGATCAAATTAGTTGCATTAAATGACTGAAAATCTCTGCATTTCAGGCATCCCAGTGAAAAGAAGGGTTGTTTAGCATCCATCCGTGCAATCGACATTTTATGAAATGTTGAAAGAGTACTAAAAAATGCATCACTTTCTTTTATTGCAGATAAAAAATTCATCATTGCTAATGCTAGAGTGCAGAATTGTGCTATCATCTACTGCAATGATGGGTTCTGTGAGATGACCGGGTTCTCCAGGCCAGATGTCATGCAGAAACCTTGCACCTGCGATTTTCTTCATGGGCCAGAGACCAAAAGACATCATATTGCTCAAATTGCTCAAGCACTGCTGGGGTCAGAGGAGAGGAAAGTAGAAGTCACCTATTATCACAAAGATGGTAAAGTCTGTTTTTACTTTCAAGACTTTTTATGTGTTCGGTTATCAGTTGATCGGTAAAAGAAGTGCGTGTGATCTGCTGGCCAGACCCTTTGCTGGAGTAGTGGTGTGATTTCTCTGAAGTCCAGTGAAGTACACTTACGTACACCAGTAAGGGAATCTGCCCTGAAAGTAGTGGGTGTACAGAGTATATCACTGTACGCTGACTGCTGAATGAAGCTAGCACTGTGCTTGCAACTGTTGAACAAAAGTTCCCCTCTCGGTTGGTTTTAAGCCGATCTAAATCTAAAGTAAACAGCCCTGCAACAATGAACAGATAACACAAGCATAGAGGGGACATCCGCTGAATGTTAATTTTTATGAACTGTTTCATTTCACAGGACATAGGAATGGTGTATCAGTTTTGGGGGGCTTAACTCTGCCTGCCTCACACGATTGGAACCGTACCTTGATTGAAGTGCAGTATGTTACTGGAAAAAGTGCAACAAGGTTAAAAGTAGCAAAAATTGGCCTATCATGAAGAAAAGCTTATAAAGAAAGGGACAAGACTTTTTCAGAGACTAGATATTGTGAAGTTGGAGTACCTATAACTGAACCACAGAAGTTGTCCTAGAATTATGTTGTCAGAGTAAAAATTTTGGGATGGCTAAACTATGAAGAGTTTCCCTGTTAATTCAGTGAAAACTCAATATATATCTGTTAACGCTATCGCTGATATAGGGAAGAATGGCTAAATCTGCTATGCTCATGCTTTTTTCCTGTTAAGAGCATAAAATGAATAAATGACTGTATTTGCAGATGCAAAAATGCATACGCATGAAAACTAATTATGATACATAATAGTTATATGTAGGGGTTCGGGTTGAGGGGTTTTTTTTCCTAATTACCCAGGGTTATTTACAGAAACAGCCGTCTTTCAAACAAATGCAAGTAATGGATAAGTGTGGTGTACCTTATTCTGTCCCTTGCTATGTACATGCTTGGGAGAAGGAAAAGGAAATTCATATTCAAATGCTGAGCTTAAATTAGTTCTGGAGAAGTGCCAGTGTGTTGTTTGCATCAATTTTAGAATCACATGCAATGGATGCTCTTGCATTTTAAAGTGACAGAGTTAAACCCTGTTCTCAATAATTCTGTTGTTATCTCGGAGAGACTTAAGTAATATTATTTTTAGCTTAGGCTGGTGTAATTCAGATAGGACTCGGGCCAACCATTCTACCCACGCTACCAATATTTAAGCATATTCTTCTTAGCACATTCTCAGTAGAGTCCTTTATTCTTAGATCTGGTTTGGTGGTCTGGAGCAGATTTCGGTCAAAATTTGTTGTTGTAGCTGTGCCTTGAACTTAGATTTCTCAGGAGACCTGACACCGTGTGTCTTTTACACATCGAGCCTGTGTTTGTTTTAACTTGACGTGTGTTAAAAATAATATTGCAAAAGAAGAATGTCATTGCTAAGTTTCACAGCCACCAGCCTGGAGCATTGTTTTGAGATCTGGTCATTTAAAAGTGCTCCAGTCTCTCAAGATATTAGGAAGGAGGGAAAGGCGCTCAGCTAAAGTGCTGCTTATCTGTCAATTACCATAAATACATATTTTTTTTTAAAATGCTGAATTCTGGCATCATGCAACACACCAGAATCTGTTTGAGGCAAACCAAAGTAAAACTGTCTGTAAAAATTGCCACATCTTTGGTAAATAGTTTTGAATTTTGAAGAACAGTATAAATGGGAGTTATGGATTATTCAGTCTAAACAATCTTATGCATAAGGATTCTCAGTAACTTCACTTCTGTGAATAGTTTCTTTAAATTGCTAGATTATATATTTGAAGGTTAAGGAATTTCAAAAGCTACAGACAACAGTTCTAGACAAATTTGAGTTTAATTCCTCAAAATTTTACTGGTCAAAATGTGAACAGGACTCACCATGTGTACTATATGCACCACTAAATTTAAACAAATACGGGTGAATTATTTTGAATTGTAAATATCATTTAAAATACCAAGTCACTGATTACAGGCAAAAATCGACAAAATACCAGATAGATCTGACACTCACATGTGGTCTGACAGCTTGATGGTTTGTATATACAGACTTTTTTGTTTCATTCCACATAACGTTCAATTTCTTTAAAAAATGTGATGAAAAGATCTGAAGTTCATGTGGTATCATAAAATTGAAACTACCTATATGATGGATGTAATAAATGTCAGTAAACATTGTATAGTTATTCTGAAGTACTGAAAAGATGTACTTCACTTTCATCTTCACTTACCTCACTTTTTCAAATTTGCAAATTTGTTTTTGCAATATATGGAGTGTGTATATATATATATGCGCTATATATATAACATACTCTGTATATTATAACAATATACAGGATGATGATACCTAACAAAGACTTCCTCCGGGTTCTGAAGCAAAATGAATTTAAATAATTTTCTAAAAATCTGAGGGTTTAGTGCCTGGTTACTGGCTTATTTTGTACTGTGAATAAATATGAGAATATTTTAAGAGGGCAATACCAGCACAGTTAGAAATGTAACTTTCTCCATGTGAGTAACTCAAGTTACTCCAATGAACTACACAATGCTTGAAAGTTTGACTTGACATGGCATTTCATAGCCACCCACTGTATAATATTTAACATAATGCTAAGCATACAGAGGAGAAAGACTGCTCATGAAGGTGTGAATTGCTTGAGCTTCCACCGAGAGGAGTTTCTGAAGACCAGTACTGAATAAATGCCCAGTGAACTGCAAATAAAACCTTATTCCACATCACACTATCATTTACTCTACATAAGCCACTGATTATACTTAAAATTATTTTAATATTTCAAAGCAAATGTCAGTGGGATCATATATGCCCTCACTTATAAAGCTAATCTGTCATCAGAAGTCCAGCAATGCAGATATCAGAAAGGGAATCACTCTATAACTAATGCTTTTTCTTTTTAATTCTAAATACCAACTCACTTAGTTTTAAAATGTCATAGCTTTAAAGTTCAACTTAAAAGGAAATTCTTGCACTAGAAGAATGGTATTGCATACGTATGGGGAATTAGGATTCTGATGTTCTCTACCAGTCTGTAGTCTACTTTTCTAGATGAAAGAAAGTGCAAGTTTTTGAGTTTTAGATATCTTGCTGATGCAAGACTGAATGCTGCTGTTTGTTCACTGCTTTAATCTTTAGGCCAGAAGAAAAGGGGCAGAAGGATGGGAAAAAACTTGTAGCAGGTTGTTTTTCAGAAAAATGACAGTTGCTTGAACCTACACTGCCTTAAACACTGCAGACAGAAGGTACAGTGATCAAAGGGGAACGCAAATTTGATGTATGGTGGTTTTATAAACAGGTTACGTAGACTGGGCACGTTTCCCTTTCCACTATGCAGTGTGGGGTGGGTGCAGAGGAGAGGGGGAGAATACTTGTAGTAGCGTTGTGTAATTGTTTAGATGGCATGGATGTGTGATGCCAGCATTATTTACGCACCCAGCAGGCTCTGTCCCAACCACACCAGTGCCCTACCGTCACAGAAGTTTTTAATGTTTGCAGCTAAAAGAGGAGCCTTACTAGCTCCTCTTGCCGTATTTGTATCAGAATAAGATTGTGAATATAGCCTACATTGGGTTTTAATTTCTCCTCACTCCTTTTTCCTTTTAGAAGGATATTTACGCAATCCAGGCAAAGTTCCTGTCCTCTCTGCTGTTAGAGTAGTGCCACAGTAGGTGATTACATAGTGATCAAAAGAATTAATTACTACTGAGAAAAATAGTTAATGGGAACAGATGGATGCCAAAACTAAGGGTCCAAATTTATACGTTCTCATCACACAAGAAGCTCTGCAAACGTCACTGGACGTACTCAGGGGATTAAAGATTCAGTAAATTTCTTTGTTAATGTAAATATCCCTTTTTAAAAAGAACAATAGATAAATACAGACTAATCACAAGAACTATTATTTTGAAATAGACTTTGGTTTAAAGTCTTGCCCAATAGGCATTAACATCTGCTTAATTCAAAAATTATACTCTGATATCAAAGTAGCAGTATAGTATATTCCTCATTATCCCACAACATCATTTTCACAAATCATATAGCTATATAATCTGTATTATAGTTGAAGTGAGATATTGTTTATACAGAATATCAATTCTTATTTTAATAAAGTTATTTGTGGTGAAAATGTTTGACAGCTCTTCCTTTGAGGACTCCATTTTGCAGTTTAAGTCATTATTGCATAAATCATTCTTGACAGCTGTAAAATATTGCTTGAGGTGGTAAAGCTGTAAAGCTTTTGACATAAAAAGTATAATTATTTTGGGATTGAGAATGGATATATTATAATCAGAAAGGATTGTATCACTGAATACTTTTTTACTTCTTACTCTGTACTTTGTGGACAACAGTGGGCTATATCTAAGCTTACAGAGTATACCTGCTAAAGGGAGGTAAGGAGATCATTTAAGCTTACCCTATACATGTCAGATATTCCAGGGATAAGAAGCACTACAGAAGAGTATAAGTTTGAGCAAAGGTAAAATTAAGCAATTATTTGCAGAGTGTTTACAAACCTCACAAATTACCTGCCACTTACCCAGTTTGAGAAATGTAATTTGCTACATTTGACTGCAAATTAAACATATTTGTATTTTCAAAACACATTAAGATTCCAAACTAATATTTTTAAGGCCTTTTAAGCTCTTTTTTGAGGATAAGAAAATAAAACATGTGTAAACATACTGATGAAAGAAAGTGAAAATTCTCTTAAATTCTATTCTACAATAGAAAAATCAGGACTTCATTTAGATGGTCATCATCTAGACTTGATCCAGCATAGATGTTTTATCACCTGTTTGTGTTCTATAAATGCTGTGAAACTACCAATCAGTTAAAAATACAAACGAAGAGAAAGACCCTTGTATGTATGCCAAGTCCCTTTAGATGAGCTGTACCATGCGGGTCAGCAAGTGCAGTTTTGATTGTAGATTCAATGCCTTCACCTAAGCTGACGAGAAACATCAATGAATCAAGTCACTGTCTACTACCCTGCTGCTGTAGGAGTTCTTGATTTAAGAAATACTGACTGCAGTTAGATAAAGTGTTAACCCCCAACAAAAAGCTGTCACAAAAATCTGTCTTTATGCAAGTTTTTTCCAAACATCCTTAAAAAAAAACAATCCTGGATCAAATCCAGAATGTTACTGAAAGTGTTGAACTACTGGAAATGGACGACCTTTTCTTATGTCTGTGATGTAATGTTTCTACCTTAGGTTTTAATACTTGTTCTAAGAGGCGAGACTGTCCCTTGTCCCATTGAGTATTGCTGGTTTTGCAACAGGGAGCAGCAGCAGCAGCCAGCCGACACCCCAATGATCAGAATATCTCATTTACCCATCCCCAGTCGGTTATGGCTCCTGTGCCTGCCCAGAACTGTGGGTCACTTTTTATTCATATTTCACATGGGATACCTAATGATTATGATAAAGCAGCTCTCAGATACACTAAGTAGATTTATT